GTGGCCGGTCTGTATGTGGGATCCGAACCCTCGGCGGAAGCGCCGCCGCGCTTCCCAAGCGGCGCACTGTAGCAGTGCACCACCGGGCCGGCCCCCAATGAGGTCTTTTAAAAGTACAAAACTAAAAAAAAAAAAAAAAAAAAAAAACCCTCTGCTTAAAACCCTTCCATGGAGAAAGGGCAAATCTTGAATGCGGCCAATATATCTTGCACCCTGGTCTCTCTACCAGTCCTCCAACCTCCCCTTCCACCACTTGGTCTTGTCATCTCTGTGGTCCAGGTATGCTGTCTATTCAGTTGCTAAAGCATGACAATCTTCTCATTTCAAAGCTGTTCCCTGTGCTCTTTGCCTAGATAATCCCATGCCCACAATACTGTCCACCAGTATCTGTCCCCCTCACCCGCTTTGGGTTATTCCTGGAAGATACGATCCTCCCACACTATCCACTCTTTCTGTCTCTCCCCCACTCCACCATGGCTCATTCCTGGAAGACAACATCCCCCCATGCCATCCACTCCTGTCTCCCCCCCACCCCCAGCACCTGTGGATCATTCCTGGAAGATACCATCTTCCCCACACTATCCACCTTTCCTATCTTCTCCCACCCTCCCTGCAGGTTCATTCCTGGAAAATACCATATTCCTTACATCATCCAATCTTCGCTGTCTTCTCTGAGCTCCTGTGGCTCATTAAAGGAGGACGTTATCCCCCCTGACCATCCACCTTTCTTGTCTCCCCCCAGCCTCTGTGAGTCACTCCTGGAAGATATTATTCCCCGCCCCCCCCAACATACACACACCATCCATGCTTCCTGTCTCCCCCCACCCCTGTAACTCATTCCTGGAAGATACCATCCCCCCATGCCATCCATCCTTCTTGTCTCCCCCATCCCTGTGGGTTGTTCCTGGGAGATAACAACCTGCCACATTATCCACTCTTCATGTGCACCCCCCTCCCCATGACTGTGGCTCATTCCTCGAAGATACCATTCCCCCATGCCACCATCCTTCCTGTCTCCCTTTAGTGGGTCTTTCTGTCTCTCCCGGCAGTCCCTGTGGCTCATTCCTGGAAGATACCATCTCCCTACACCATCTACCCTTCCTGTTTCTCCCCTGCCCCTGTGGCTCATTCTTAGTTGCTGTACCAGTTCCTTAGTTTCAGTTTAAAGATTGCTTCATCGATGAATGCTTCCTTTTACCTTTGGATCATGTAAGGTTCCCCCTGCTACAAGCATTCTCCTAGTATTATATAATTATATGTTCAATGTCAGCCTTGCCAGCTAGAAGAATACAAGCTCCATGAGGGTAGGGGACATTCCTAATAAGTTCTCTACCATTTCTCAGTTCCTGGTACAGTGCCTTCACATAGTAGGCCCCAAATAAATAGATGCTAATAAATACATAAATATTGTATGTATAAATAAATAAATTAACATGCAAATACTAATGTACTGTAAATAATTAAACTAATAACACAGGTTCTAACCGAAAACATAGTTTATATTTTTCACTAATGCAGACTAACTTCCTTCCAGTTTCCTATTATTCTATATCTATATGGAATTACTTTTTAAATATCATTCCAAACTGCTTTGTAGCTGACCTCCATAGAATATAAAAACACAATTACTGTTTTCATTGCAGATCACACAACCCTTTCATTATCAGAAGTTCAACTTCATTCACCTACTTTTCTTAAGTTTTAGATTCATTTTTGTTCAAACCTGCTCTGAAATGTCTAAAGTGTCCTCAGAGTTGCTACTGACTGAAAGATTATTAGGTTTCCTAACTTTTTCTTGTAAGTTAAAAAAAGTACTTCATCTCAAAAGAGGATAGAAAGGATTGGAAGAGAAGATTAAAAAGTAAATTTTAAATAATCAAGTCTACTTTGTCCAGCAGATTTTATCGATGAGATCTTTCATGGTCATCTTGTCCCATTCCTCAGCATGTGGGGCCTGCCAGGGTGCATCAGCTGGAATCTGCAGAGAAAAAAGATCACCGCATACTCAGGTGTGATGTTAAGTGCTACCACTGCTCCTCACGAGAACCTCTGAAAACTGTTCTCTAGGTCTCTGTAATCTCTGTGATGGAATATGGGATTAGCATGGAATTCCATACATAGATTAGGGGATGGGAGAGAGCTCTTTAGATTCTATGCCTTAATGCTGTTGCCAAAACAATAATGGTAATATTTACATATAAATGCATATATAAATTTATATGTAATTATGATTATGATGATGATTATCATTATTACTATTATTTTTATTGAAAGCTAACACCCATTTTATTTTAAGTCCTCAATTTAAGTTTCCAAGAGATGTTACAGAGCCTTAAATTAAGTAAAAAATCTTTGGAGCAGCAATTCCTTCTCTCCTTTACTATCTAAAGTGGCATTATAGATGGATAAGACAACTGTATGCAGAGATAACTGGCAAAAATATGTAATATAAATGCTCAGTGGCATAGAGTTGAAGTTATACAGGCGTTAGTATCAGAAATAGTGGGTTTGAATCCTAATTCCCTTGCTGTGAGGTCCTGGGCAAATTACATAACCTCTCGACACTCATTTTCCCCATTTGTCAAGTGGAAATACTACCAACGTTGCAGAGTTGTTGGATGTACTGGAAATGATATGCATCAATGTCCACAGCAATGCTCCCTGCACCATGGAAGGATATTAAACAGTTGCCACTGTTATTACAGTAATGGGTCATGTGAAAGTTGAACACACATTTTACCTCCTTTCCCATGTTATCCAATGTCCGCCACAGATTGTTGTAATCCAGATATGCGATGGGATTCCACACTGGAGGGAAGGCACCCCGAAATGGATAAGTTCTTCCCTGGAACACAAAAGCAAAGGGAAGCAATTGAAGAGGGTAATACCTTAAATTAGGATGGCATTCTAAAAACTAAACCACCACCCAACCTAAGACAGCATTTTCAAAGTAACAGGATCCTCTACCATGTCAGAATTAATCCCTTTGATGGAAAGTAAATATATTTTACCTATATAGGTCCCAATTTTAATAAGATTAGCAAAATTTCCCTGGTGCTATGCTGTTTCTAATTTACAAGAAATAATAGCTTGAAGTTTATTTCTTCTTTTTTGGAAACATAAATAAAGATAGTTCATCCTAGTATCTAATGCCGATGATACAATATGCTCAACTCCTGATCTCCTACCTAACCTCTTTGGAAGGATGTTCCCACTCAGATGAGAGCAGGATGATGACATGGAGGACTGTCTTTAGACCACATATAGGACATGAAGAGCAAAGCAGACTATCTCAGGCTGTGTTTTAAGGTCTACACAGGCTAAATAAAGACTGGCTAGACTATGGACTACGCCCAACATAAGGAATCAGAATATTAGTAATGTGGAATAATGAGCAGTTGCCATTTTTGGTTGCCTAGTTATCTGTTCCCCTTTCCTAGTAGTACCCTGGTTTCTTTTAGGGAAACTGCTTCTCCTCTGTGTATAGCTGAGTATGGAGGAAGGCCCAGATACCAGCTCCCATTACAGAAAGAGATGGGTTAGATCCTTTCTCTCCTCCCCCACTCCCCACCCCAACCTCCCTGGCTCCTGGTACAGTCCGGCTGTGAGCCTCTAATCTGAGCTTAGCCAGTCACACACTCTAAAAGGACCCTGGAGTGGGTCACCTGAGTATAGAAGAACGTGGACTGTGGGTTCTCCTTCCCCACTGCAGTGTGCTGAGCAGATACTTCCTGCTACAAAGACCATGGCCGTGGTTCTTGCCCCTAACTTGCCAGAGCTCTCCTGTCCTCTACCCATTCTCGAGTGTGGTCCTCCAGCCTCATGTTGATTCTGTGGGCCCTCTCATATTCTTTCACTAAATTCCCTCTCGTTAGCCCAAGTTGATTTCAACTGCTTGGTGCCAAGACCTCTAACATGAAGACAGCTTATTATAAGCAACCATTTACTTCATTTCATCGTGTGACAGGTTCTGTGCTAAACAAAAGCAAGGGTGATGGGAGGGTGAATCCTTAGGAAAAGAGACCAGATCTAGGTAGTTTCTAAGGTCTTATTTGCTAATTTAATTCCTTTTACTTTAAAAATAAATGTCTTATAAATATTCATAAGGTCTAAATCTTTCCTACTGGTAAAATTCTGCATGAGAATTTGGTTTTTTAATTGAATAAATATTTGTAGAAAGCCTACTGTGTGCACTGCACAATATTAAGAGCTGTGCTGGCTTTTGATAAAGGGCTAAAGCAAAACCCCTGATTATCAAGGCAAGGGCACAAAACAAAACAAGCAAGTGCACCCCTTCCCCCCACCACACCCAAATGGAGTAAGAATATATGGCAGCCATTAAGTGACAAAGAAGTGATTTTCCCTTTCACACATCAAATTCAAATGTCCTTGGCAGATTATGTAATCTGATTTCTTATGCGAAAATGCTATATTGTAATGCTGCAGTACAACTTTTCGAGACTCCAAATCCATTATCATCCCTGCCACCATCGTCACTAACATTTATTGAGTGCCATGCCTGACACTGTGCTAAGCTCTTAATATGTGTTATCTCATATAATGCTCACTCCAACCCTGTGGAGGCAAGCACTATTAATATTTCCATGTTACGAATGAGGAAACTAAAGCCCAGAGAGAGTAGCTAGTAAATAGTAGAATGGAAATTTCCTGCTCCCAAAGCCTTTCCTCATAAAACATGCTTTCCTGCCTCCTATATGACTGATGGAATGTGGAGATAAATTTGTTCTAGAGACATCTTAAATTTCCCAACAAAAAGAAAGAAAGCTTTGAAATGTGAAACTTATATATTTCCCAGATGTATCTTTTCTGTTTCTAGGGAGTAAAAAGAGACTAAGAAACTCCAGGGGTGTAAGGTGACTGCAAGTGACTGCTGAGGAAACGTGGCCAACTTTGGAAAATGCCGAAGTGTTCTTCTGAGAGAAAAGCACAGACACATTTGACACAGAACACAGAAATAGCTACGGATGAAAGAGAGGCTGGACTTAAGCAATAGCTTGGGGCAGTGTTTGGAACAGCTGGTTCTTGTTATAATTCTTCCCCTAATTGAAATCTGGAAAAATCTACATTTTACTCTGTAAAATGCATTTATACTCAAGGAATAGTTTTACACTAAATTGATCTTTGCTTTGAAAAAAATTTATTAATAAAAATTTAAATATTCTCAATCATTTGGGGACATTAAGTATTATAAATATAATTCAACAAAATGTGTTCCACATTCCTCGTGAAGTTCTTCACAGAACAATGCTAACTTGACTATGATTTCACACAAGGCCCTAAAGACCCTTGATAAACAAACAGAGGTGGGAGAGTAAAGAGTTCAAGGAGAGAGGAAAATCTGGCCCGGTAATCTTTTTAGAAATGGGAGCCGTGGAATATCCTAAAAGAAGACCATAAAGGCCTATCACAACATAAACTTTTATCCCATTGACAAAGGCACCAAGTAGATAAAGAATTTCATTAATTAGTTTCACCCTTATCAATTTCTGACTTCGTTCTCATTCTACCTAAACCTGTTAAAGACATGCATGTATGTGGGGAACTGGCACCTCCATGGCACTTCCTCCTTTCTAACAAGCATCTGGAAGGGCTAATTTCCTCCATGGTCTACCTCCAGACTAGACTTGAGACTACTCTTGTGTGAATCCCTAAAGTAGTGCAATAGGAGGGCCTGGGGATGTTTCCTGGTTGAGTGAGACCCGCCTGAGAGCAGGAACCCTCTCGGTCTCCTAAATGTGATTCTATAGTTTTCTCAACAAAGTGCAGTTTCTCAGTCCTAAACCAATTCTCAGCAAGAAATGCCTTCATGACCTAGAGTGTGAGGTAAGAGCTCTGGAAATACTTCCAAATGACTATTGCTCTTTAAAAATAAAAGGAAGTAAATCTAGAGTAATGGTCAAGTTCAATTTGTACCTATACTCTGAAACCTTATAACCTCTCCAACGTGGACCTTAATCTCTAACGAAGTGTCTATGACACAGCAGAAATTCATGACATCGAGTAGAACACAAAGTCCCTGGAACTGTGCCCAAAATGCTTCAGCCCCTTTGAGAAACTACATCTTCAATCTACCAATGTTCGTAATAACAGAAGACTACTGCCAGATGACAGTTTATGGCTCCCATATCATTCTTTATTGTTGGTCCTATAAGATAAGCCAAGTTTATAGTAAACAAATAGTATTTATTGATTGGCACATTGGAGAGTTTCATCTCTCTGTACTTTATTAGATTTTAGTTAAGCAAAAGGAAGCGAGTGTTATGAGAGTATCATAGGTCACTGGGAAAGCTGCCAAATATCTTTCTTTAATTATCTTAAAAAGAAACATATATCTTCTGAATTGGTTTAGGAACATGCGTGTCCAGCCCATATGAATTCCTTGGGATCTGCCTAGTCCCACTGTTTTGTGACAAAGCCTATGAGAGAAATCTTTTGACAGTTTCTTTTTTATAGTTCATAATAATGCTTTAAATAAAAAAATCATCTAAAAAGAGACCCATTAAATAGGATTTAATTTATAAGTTATGTATGTTTGAAGAGAGCTTGGCTACCTGCATTTGGAAAGAGGAAGAAAATGATTTTGTGAACTAACACAATATCCATTAATAGTTCACACTCATTTTCTTCCACAATGACAAAATCACTTAACAATGTGTTTCTCAGAATGTATCCCTGTTGTTAAGTGACACATGAGTGTATTTCCTAAAATCTAACTTGCATCCTCAAAAGTCCACAGATGCCCTTTTATCCAACATCATCACTGAGTTCCTTTTAGCCATATTTGAAAGGATGTATCCATCCCATTAGCACTCAGCTGCATCTGACACCACCACATTGGACAGTGCTGGTTCTCCCAATTCCACCTAGTTCCCCAAGACCCTCCTTTCTCCGATTCCCTGAATCCCTCAGGGTCTGATCCTCAGCCTTTCCCATTTCCTTTCCCATTTCCCTGGGAAACTCACCCACCATCTGCTCCCTCTATGTTTATGAGTACCAAATTGTTACCATGCCTCTGCTCCCTCTATGTTTATGAGTACCGAATTGTTACCCATAACCTCTTGCACAATTTCAAGGGCTGGCAGCACATTCCTGCATATTTGCTCATGACCTGATATTTCATCATATTCTCAGCCCCTGTCTCAAGACTTGCACATCTACCAGCTAACACAGTGGGCCCCTGAGTTGTGCAGACCCAACTTCTGGAAAAAGGGAATCACTGAACTTAGGTACAAATAATGCCACAGCATCAAGAATGAAGGGTTTTAAATAAATAATTATGCCATCTTTCCCAAGGGATTCTAGTATGTACAGAAATTATAAATAAAACAATTAAGATAAAAACAATACAAGTTCTTCTAGAGGTTGTTGAGTAATTAAAGATAACTGATAGAGCACTTTAAAAAAATATTTTTCTTCTTTCACAAATGCCATGAACTCAGGAGAAACAGAAAAAAGATGAAAATGTTATACTGTGAGGATGAATGACTGTTTAACAGCTTTATTAACATATCATTCATATAACCTATAATTCATGCATCTCAAGGGTACAATTCAATGATTTTTGGCATATTCATAGAGTGTGCAACCATCACATCTAATTTTAAAACATTTTTATCATCCCAAGAAGAAACGCTTACTCATTAGTACTCACTCTCTATTCTCCTCCACTCCATTTGGAAGAACTGCCAAACTATTTTCCAAAGAGGCTGCACCATTTTACATTCCCACCAGCATGTATGAGGATTTCAATGTGACCCCATCCTCCGCAATACTTGTTATTGTCTGTCTTTTTGATTACACCATCCTGGTGAGTGTGAAGTTGCA